GGCAATAAAAGGCCAAAAAAATAAGTTACCTAAAACCTAAAAAAAATGGTTCACATCTGAGGTTCATTACAAACTCATACACAAACCACCAATAATACATACTGTATGTCACACAACTATTATATATTATACTTGAAAATGTGTGTTTTTAATAGGGATTTTAAGACATGCTTTGTTTCTTTTAAACAATATTTTCCAAAGCACTGACAGTCTTTAGTCTAGGCAACAGTTTGTATGACCATTTTCTGCCCAAACTGTGGCCATGATTTTGGAGTTACATAAAAGCCTCATGTTTCACATAGAGGAGCCACTGCTCCCACATATGAGCACTCTTCCAAAAGTAATTGTTTGCTTGAATTTCTTACAACGACATCTGGTGTACTGCAGCAGTCTGAAGCATGCTTTCCACAGTGCCCTATCTGTTTGGGATTTAATTTCACTGACTATACACACATATAAGAGTGAAGTTAAACGGGGGGTAGAATGATTAGGAAAGTAGCTTTACATTTATTAAACAGCTTAACTTTGTAGGCTATTTGCCAGTGCCCCGGCTCATGATCCGGTGGTGTATATGTGTCCTGTCTATACAGCTTTAAAGGGATCTCAACCCTTGCCCCCATATGACAGCAGTCCAACACTAATATCCACCAATCTTATTCATTATCTTTGACTGCCAAGGTGTGACAACCCATCCATAAAACCCATCATGTAGCTCCCTTATTAATCAATTACACCTGACTGAGGAGGTGAGAAGATCCTCCAGCAATCCATCAGACGGATTGACCCTTAAAGCTGGAATTAACCTGCGCCTCCGCCCGAAAAGAGGTGACCAAACTAACAGATTTAGGTAGTCCTTGTCAACTATTTTAAAGGTTATGACTATTCTGATATAGATCATGATTTAATAACTTTCTGAATTTAGTCACAAGCATAAACTGTGGAATTGATTGACTGGTATGATAATAGTTAGGTAGATAGTGAGTTGTTAAGCTTTGTTGATTGCACAGCATAAGTCAGCAGGTCACATAGATCTCTGTAAACCTGCCATGTGCACAGATTGCACAAGGCTTGGTAGAGAAGCCATCTGTCGCCCTGGCTACCATAACAACCAAAATCCAACTAATACCACTCTACTCCTGTCTAAGCTATAAGAAAGGAAGTCCTTGAACATTCACACATAGTCCTTACAGACAATAGCATTAAAACCTCATAGCTTGCAGCAAAGTTTTACTTCATTACAGTATTTATCACTGAGCCACTAAAAACTAAAATTTAACCAAGTTTTTACAATCATTTTTGAGAAACTTTTCACCTCCTGAGTTTCTAATGTCAGTGGACACATTGCCATTTGCCCCACCATTATATATAAATTAGGCTTTCATAAGAAAAATCTGTTTTTTTTCTGTGTGTTGTTTAGTCCCAATATTCAGTCCAAGCACAGCTCAAACTACACATTAAATGCATTAATAGGCTGATTTCATTCATGCACTAGCTATAGGAAAATATGGACCGTATGTGCAAAATGTGGAGCGCACAGAATTGTTCACATCCTCCAGCACATCGACTGTAGAAAATGTGAGATTTATTCAAAAGCCGACAAAGACAAAGTGGCTGATACAGTTTTCTTTCAGGACTATGTTATTGCAATCTGTCCCACCCCCAAAACTGCCTACGTCTCTGAGCTTATTCTTTTGAAGTCAATATTATTTTTACACATGCATGTGGTCAGAAACAGTAGTGTTCTAATGCATTAATCAGATTTCCTCTGAAATAGCCCTCTTTGACAGGCTGCATAAGCTATAGGGAGGGCTCCAAGGTTTAGAAGTCATAGTATAAAAGCAAACAGGAGGCACTGATTGGCACTCACACCCACTGTCAACAGTGACGGATTACAGAAGACAGCAGAGAAGACTCATTGACAGCCCTGAGGGCACGGTAAGTGAGCCGTTTCTCTTCTCTGACCAATGGCACATTGGAAATATATTGAGATGATAATAACTCCAGATAATGATATTACAGTTATTGCACAGGAGGATTAGTATTTATTTAAAGTTAGTCACTTTAGTTAGTTCAAAGGAACATAACGGCATACTTCAACCACTCAAATTAAGTTTAATCTTATGATTGTTTATGATAATATAATTGTAAAATCACAAATGTACTCTTTCCACTAGTAAGTAATTCAGAAGTTATTATTGCCATAGGCTGCAACAGTGAGTGAACTTCATCGGTGGTTCTTTGGCTGAAACTCTCTCTGGTTTTTTTGCAGACTGGATCTATAACTTTGCCATCAACATGTCAAAGTGAGTATAAACACTTTTTGACTCATTCATGTTTGATTCATTCATTCTGGTTTAATTTAGAGATTAGCATGCATGCCTTATAATGCCAATCAAACTGTTTAGGGCATTAAAATGCCACAAAAAGAAATCTGATGAAGATGAAATACAAATTGTTAACAATCCTTGAATTATAGTTTAACTTTGTGTCAATTTAAGACGTATTTAATGGAAACAAGAAAAGGTCACGACTTATATGCAGGAATCAAGTGGTAATAACTTCACAAGAAAGAAGTCCAGGGACTTAAATATAGCCATTTAACATCTTGGCAGAGGCACATGCTACAGTCTCTGTCTTCAGGATACGGATAAATCCTGATTAAGGTGGATTGTGTGGATTTGATCTTGGAAAAGAGGTTTACAAGACGAAGAAAGGAGAAGTTTTAACACGATTACTTGGCACACAAGAGAAAGAGGCAAACACTATCAAGGATTACTGTTTGTTTGTGGCTACATAGACGGAGCAAAGGGAGTGCGCTCACACGGTTCTGTAATACAAAGAATATTAAGAAAAACAATCACTATTTTGGGATGTTGATTCAGAATCTTACAAGCTTACCAAGATATATTCAACATTATAACATGTCTCCTTAATGAACTATTTATAAACAATAGATAACAAGATGTCTTATTATCAATTGTATATATTATTAAGTATAATGTATTGATTTACTAAATCACAATTATGTTTTATGTCCAGATTAGACACTTGTGTCAGCAGGTGCCTTTCAATCCTCAGCAATAATCCATACTTGGAGGATGGAGGGTGGGGGGTGTCTTGTAATTGGAAATTACAACTATGGGAGGTGGTAGGTGCACAACACTATTGCCTAAGACCACTCCATAAGTGGAAAGAAGAATGAATGAAATAAAGAAGAAAAAAATGGGAGGGGGCATTTGGACTTGGTCCTTTATGTCTTAATGTGTTTGTATCAAAAAGTGTTCAAAAGTGTGACATAACAGTCTGATTCTCTGTCTTTTCTTTTTTTTTCTCTTTTCAGGGTATTTAAGAAGACCAGCGGCAATGGAAATGTAAGTGGCCTCTATAATATAGTCATTACAGGGAACCTCTTGAGTATAGGGAGGAGTGCAATTTGTATGTATCTCTTCCAACTTCCAGAAATAACTTCCCAACTCTTGTAACCTTGGCAGAGGAGTAACTCTCTGCTTTTCTCTGTTTCTCTCAGATCGCCTTGTACTTGGGGAGGAGAGACTTTGTGGACCATGTGGATTCAGTGGATGTAGTTGGTATGTGGCATTATGTCTGTTTGTACAGCCTCAAATTTACAAACATACAATGAATGTGTTTGTTAGGTATAATGCAATTCCTCTCATTTGCAGACGGTGTTATTAAAGTGGATCCTTCTGATCTTAACGGCAGAAAAGGTATTTCTATCTCAATCACTGCCAATGATTAAAGTTATGGAGCCTACAGTTATGCAACAAAACTAAATATATCATTTTCCATTGCAGTATTTGTCTACCTTGCTTGTGTCTTTCGCTATGGAAGCGATGAATTGGATGTTATTGGGATGTCCTTCAGAAGAGACATCTGGGTCCAGCGTGTTCAGGTTTATCCACCTACAGGTGAAAGCATAACAAAGACACCAATGCAGGAATCCCTCCTGAAAAAAGCTGGAGAGCAGGGATATCCTTTTTCCTTCCAGGTGAGGAAGCATAACTCACTCACTCTTTATTTAACAGATTAAATCTCACCTGTCCTTCAGTCAAATGTCGTCTTGATCAATCACAGATCATTGACTTCACCTCTACCTTCCACTCAGGATCTTAATTTAATAATGTGCCTTGTTTGTACTTCAGATGCCAACAAATCTCCCATGCTCAGTCTCCTTACAGCCTGGGCCAAATGATGCTGGCAAGGTACCTTTACCGTCCATTTTCATTCACTCTTATACACAACTTTCAATGTTGTACAAACAAATCATTTATTTCTGTCTTGTTCTGCTGTAGGCTTGTGGTGTGGACTTTGAGGTTAAAGGATACATTGCCAATGTAGCTGACAATGCAGATGAAGTCATTGAAAAGAAGTATGTATGCACAGAGCTAAACCTTACTGTCAGCCCAATCTTCTACTGCATCTTTAAACTGTAACAGGATTAAAGACACTCACTTTCTTGGTGTGTATTTTTTCTGGTCTTAGAGACACATGTCGCCTGATGATTCGCAAAATACAATTTGCACCAGCTAACAACAAGGCCGGACCCAAGGCTGATATAACCAAGCAGTTTATGATGACTGACAAATCTGTTCACTTGGAGGCCTCCCTTGAAAAAGAGGTTGACATTGAAGCCTACATATTGTTTTTTGGCAACATATACATAATATAACTGTTGCTTAATGATTAAAAATAAACTATCCTTATATTTAGATTTATTATCACGGAGAAACAATCACTGTCAAGGTAAAAATCAACAACGAAACCACCAAGGTTGTAAAGAAAATCAAAGTCTCAGGTGAGTAGCGAGGAAAGTTTGATTAAAGTTTGTAGGTCATAAGGGAAGGAGGAGAAAAATTATTTGAGTCAGGGTTCATGTCTGTCTTTATAATACATGCTCATATTTAGATTGATAAATGTTGATAAATTCTAACAGAGATATATTTTTTCTTTTAGTCGAGCAGCTAACAAACGTGGTGCTCTACTCATCCGACACTTACGCCAAGGCAGTCTGCTCTGAGGAGTTCGGGTGAGGCTTTTCACTGTAATCAAATGATGTTTATTAGCAAGATTCAGAATCAGTTTTTAATTTCTTTTTATTTAATTCATTAAAGAAGTATCTGATAAAAATATTATTACATCCTAATATCCTCAAATTTTATCTATATAGCGAAAAATTGCTTTGTCGTTGTTACATTTCCTTTTAAATCCAAAGTATATATTGAAAAGTAAACTGGCTGTTAAGTATTCCTATTTATTTATTTCTAAATTTCACTGCAATACACAGGGAGACAGTAAACGCCAACTCTACGCTCGAGAAGTCCTTCCAAATAATCCCCCTGCTGGCCAACAACAAAGAGAAGCGTGGTCTTTCAGTGGACGGGCAGTTAAAAGATGAGGACACCCACCTAGCATCCACTACTCTGTAAGCCACTCTAGGTCTCTCACAAAGGGCTTACTGTGAGCCCAGCACGGCTTTTCATCCTCTTATTTAGTGGTGATAAACTCTACATTCTGTCATCCACTTATCGTGTCTTAAACCAAATCCTCAAGCTGTGAAAGGTAAACTATTTCCGTCTCCTCACAGGAGTCAGGGAGAAAAGGAGATGCAGGGAATCATTGTGTCCTATAAAGTCAAGGTCAATCTAATGGTGTCCGGTGGAGGGTAAGGCTCAACTGAAAAGAAAATATTCATGCACGATACTTATTACAAATTATGCAGACTAATTGCGTCTTTTATTGTTTCTCTGTCACCAAAAGCCTGCTGGGTGGCCTAACAGGAAGGTAAATATTGGTTTTCCTTCATTTGTATTCATGTGTTCTAAGTGTGAATAATATATAAATTACAATTCTAAACATTTTTAGTCATAAAAACTTTTATTTTTATTTTTAGTGATGTCACTGTGGAGCTTCCTTTGACTCTGATGTCCCCAAAACCTGCAGGTGAGTGCAGTGTTTATAATATAATCATCATATAATTGCCATTTGATTGCTTCTTGATACATTTCACTTATACATGCCATGTATGTCCTCCCCTTTTATCCATTTATTGCATGCCTTTGTTGTATTCTGAGCAGAAGTGTAAGTATTAAACCGTCTGCCCTCCCCCTCTCTCACTATAAAAAGACATGTATTCACTTGTGGCTGTGATGTTGGTGACATGCTGCTGTTATTTTTCTCCTTTGTGCTATGAACCACAGCAAATTGGATTAAAAGCCTCTTTAGTTAAGGTGAGGTCACTGCCAATTCAACATATTTTATACAGTTCACTTCTTCAAGGGCTACACCGCATGTCTTTTCTATGAAATAAATATCTAATTTGAGCACTCTGATGTTATATGTTGTTCACGACACATATCAACAATACAATCAAAAGACCTGCATTTGCATAATAAAGGTTAGGAGGTCATTTGAGAGAAGCCTACATGTGATTGGCCCTTGTATGGGTGCACTGCTTCACCCTACAACCCTGCTGCATTTTAATCATCGTTGCTCCATCTCCGAGGATTTTTTTTGCTAATGCATTAGATAAAGGATAGCTGCTATTATGTTGTAAAAATTTCCATTTGCACAGTACCTGTTTTACCCTTGACTGAATATAAAATCAGATGTAATTCATTCCATGAGTTACCTTGGTGTAATGTTGGACTTAAAAGAATCAGCTGTTCTTCATTTCTTGCCAACAGGGCAGACATCTCAATCGAGTCCATGGACGGTTGAGACGACCAGCGAAGGAAAATCACCTCTCTGAGAAGAGAACACAGAACAAAAAGGAACTTAACACTAATGAACAGAAGCACAAAGTGTCACTGAGTGACTACAATGCTCTTATTTATCCTGTACAGATACATATTTATTAGGCATCACCACAAGAGTCCTAAACTCAGTTTATTTGATGCATCATAGCAATAAATAGAAATAAACATGTATTGTACATTTTTCTTTGTCAAAAGAAATGTCCCATAGTATAGAGTTTGTTTCCATGTGTTATGAATATTAAACTTGTTTTATTAATCCTTAATTTTATTATGGTGTGATTAGAGCCATGATATATTATGAATTAATGTACAGCTGAATGATGAATATCCCCAAAATACCTCTACTTGTGTCACTATATATCAACAAGAGAGGTAAATAAACACATTGTTTCCCTGAATTATCCCTTATTTATTTTGGTCATTTTATTTTTTTAGTGTTTTGAAAACATTTTAAGAAAATGCTTCATTACAGAAATGCCAAATTGAAAGAAAAAAAAAGATATTGACTGTTTAATCATTTCACTAACAAAAGATAGTGAAACATCATTTTGTTATCAAAGCACTTGGGATCAATCTGTACTTTTTTTTTACATAGTTCATACACTTTTATTTTTATGTTAGCTGTGTGTATTTTGTTTGGGACTATATTTAACACCCATTGTCACACAGAAAGATTGCTCTGAGTAGTTGCTTTAAAGCAGAGGTGGACCTGTGTTTGATAAGATGTAGTCTGAAGGATCCCTATCTGACTGGGATAACTTCTACTCAGTGAACTTATAGGGAAACTAAAACATTCCCCATTTTACTGGGGACCCCCCTGGAACCTTCTCGGGGACCCCTGGGGTTGAGAGCCACTGCTTTAAAGCAGTGCTTTGAATCTTACCACAACACATAGTGTAAATATATATTTATGCCAACTAGTGTGGCTTTCTTTTGCCCCAAAACTGACTCACACAACCACTGGTTCAGAGAGCCTCTTCCATTCTTCCATTTCCTTACGCTAATAATACTCCAGCAGGTCAACTATGTGTAAATATCCAAAGAAACATCACTTTGTTGGACGCATAAAACGAACAGAAATGAATAACTAATGATAATATGGACACATAATAAGGCTACACGTTACCACTGCTGTTGTCTCTCAAGGTTTGCCTCTTGGTTGCGCTATTTCACTTCAGTACGCTTAAGAAAACAATAGCGCTGGCTAGTGCAGGATAAAGATACACTACTTGCTCCTCTCCGGTCTAGACATCGCACCATTAGCCAAGTCAGCTAGTTATCAGTTTTTATTTTTTGACAAGATGTCAACCACGACCGGCGGCGGAGAGTTTGGCAACCCTCTACGAAAGTTCAAGCTCGTCTTTCTGGGCGAACAGAGTGGTAAGCAGGGCACGGTGGAGTCGGGGTGTTAATTTGGTCGGATGTGAGGAATATGTTTAGGAGAAGTGGCTAAGACGACCGGAGCTAACTAGCTTCTCCTGCTAGGTTGCTGGTAGGCTAGCAGGATAAAGTAATCCACCGGCCAGCGATGATACAGAGCGGGATGTTAATATTTGATAGAGATGGAGACACAGAGAGAGTGAGATGATAAAAGATGATGGATATAAAATCTCTTCTCTCTCTCGTGATGATGTCATTGCATAGCCAACCATAGCTAGCTACGGTAAATCGCTAAGCTAGCCAAACATCTCGCTCTTCGTCGCAACGACAAAAAGCCTGTAATAAAGAAGAGTTGTCGTCTTAAAAATGAACGTGTGTCATTCATCCACAGATTGGTGTGTTGCCAGATTAAAACAATGCACACTGGCCTCACTGTGGCCACTAGTTTATGATGCATCATCTAAGTGTCGCTAAAGGCTGCTGGCTAACGACTCTGAGCTAACAGTTAGCCACTATTGACGTTCATTCACACCTAATGGAAACCCTAACGTGGCCACCAAGAGCCAGTCACGACTCTTTGCGTCCAAACAGAAGACCCCGTATATGTGAAGGGGATTAAGTTTATATTTTATCGGTCGCTTTTTGAACTCCCTAGCTATTAGCTGGTAGCTTCTTACGGCAGCACCTCGCAGAGCCACGTCGGCCGGTGGGTCGAGACCAGGCGGCCTTTCTCTCCCCCCCCCGACCCGACCAGACCATTCAACATCAGCTTACTGGGACTGACAATGACATTAGTGTACGCGACTGTGTTTTAGTTGTGATTGCATAAGACGGCAGTGGCAGTCTCTCATCACGAAACAAATGGGGAAAAGTTGAGCCATTTTCATTCTCCCAAATTTCTGTGGCTCCACCCATAGTGCCAGCTCAGCGTGTGGGTTCAGCAGTCCACATTGCATCAATGAGAACAGCAATGTACTGTCACTGAGTCATAGTGACTTCATTTATTTTTATTTTTTTATTCCAGTTATACAAAATTAGAAGTGATAGAAATGTGTATTGTAGAATAAGGTCTTTTGATCACCAGGATCAAATGTTAATGTGTCTGTTATTGTGTTTGTGCAGTTGGGAAGACCTCACTCATCACCAGGTTTATGTATGACAGTTTCGACAACACTTATCAGGTAATAATGTGTTTTCATCACAATGTGGGTACTAATTGAGTGTGTTTATATCAATGTAGGGTGTCATTTTTTGTGACAAACATTATGACTTGTTAAGCACATTTATAATCTATAACAAGTAAAAAAAAAGGTCTATAGATCACGTTAATACAATGGCATCAAACACCTTTTGTCTAATGATTTTTGGGTGTAGATGTTATGCAGATATTGTGCCTATAACAGTGCAATAATTGTCTTTACAGGCAACAATTGGCATTGACTTTTTGTCAAAAACCATGTACCTAGAAGATCGCACGGTAAGCCCGTTTTATATTTTATTGCCATTCTCATCATTCACATTGATGTAGTTTTAAAACTGCTAGAAAAGCTTAAAGCATGCAACTGCTCATTGTGTAGTAGCCACCATTTATTTCCCATTCATTATTTCACATTGGTTTTTACATTATCTTAGATTTTTACCATTCACTTTGTTAGACATGTTGATCATGTTTTTAGTTCCCATCGTTATTTTTAAGTTTTTGTTTTCCTTCCATCCCCTGGCTGGGTCATGAAATGCCCCCACTTCACACATTCATTTCACGGCTGGCCACAGATTCGGCTGCAGCTCTGGGATACAGCCGGACAGGAGCGTTTCCGCAGCCTCATCCCCAGTTACATCCGAGACTCAGCCGCTGCTGTGGTGGTTTATGACATAGCCAGTAGGTATCATAGCCTTGACTTACCTCCTTGTCCTGCGCTTTAGTCGGTGGAAGGGCAAAAGTAAGAACATTTTCTAGCCTGGCAAACCCCACTGGACAGTATGATGAGGGTACATCCCAGACCGTTTGCATCAGCTGTAGTGATACTTAACATTTCTCAGGGGGTGTCCAGGGGGGTCTGTGCATTATAAAGGCTGCTACATATGAGGCTGATGGAAGGAATAGCGGAAAATGCCTTCCAATGTCACCTCATGATTCTCTAACAGTCCTAATAATGATTCAGCACGAACGCCTTTTACATGTCTTATTTGCACGCTGGTCATCTCCAACCCTGCTGCATTTGAATGATTCTCACCGTTCCTTGATTTAAAAAAAGGCCATTTTCATCCCTGCTGCTTGGCTTTCAGTTCCTTTATGTCTGTCCTATTCTCCACTTTCTCGTTCTGCCTTTCCCCTCTTTATCTCCACCTCCTTCCCCTTTTCTTCCCCTCCGCTCCAATCCTCCAGGTCCGGCTCCAGCTTTGGGACACTGCTGGACAGGAGCGTTTTCGTAGCCTAATTCCCAGCTACATCCGTGACTCTACCATTGCCGTGGTTGTTTATGACATCACCAGTGAGTCAGGGCTGTACTCTAACATTTCTGTAGGGGTTGAGAGCAATTAAAAGGACACTGTCTTGTCATAGTTGCTATTTCTCTTTCTGCCTTCCTTCAGAATCTCTTTTAAGTATATTTTCTTCCTTCAATCTTCTCTTCTTAATACGTTTGCTTACTAACACAACTACGCTACATAAGATGCTCTACCTTTTTTTTAACGAAAAATAACACCTGCTTGTGCACACTTTTAACTAGAGCTAGAACAACAAATGTTTGTGTTTTGGGGCCATATGTGGTTGATGTGTACAGTCATTTTGTGTGTGTTTTTTCCCATCCACAGATCTTAATTCATTCCAGCAAACCTCAAAGTGGATTGATGATGTCAGAACAGAGAGAGGAAGTGATGTCATTATCATGCTTGTTGGGAACAAAACAGACTTGGCGGATAAAAGGTACATGGTTGTGTGAGATGTGTGAAAGATTACAGTGATAATTATTGTGTTATTATGTTTAGAATGGTTGATAAATAGACAGTGGTTTTATAATCCTACTACAGTTTGAGTAGCATTAAGTGTAATAGTATATAAACTCTGCCAAAGCCTGGAATCCCACTTTTCTTCCCCTCAGTGCATCTCATCCAGTTTTGACTTTTATCATCCCTTGGTATTTTGCATACTCCAGCCTTTTTTCTAAGTGATTTTAAATGTTGAATTCTATATTTTTTATTTCTTATGATTTGATCATATTTCTGTTCTGCCTTTTTTCTTTTTTACTTTTTTTTTTTTTTTTTGGTTCCCTTTTCTGCTCTGTTCTCTCCATGGCATTTTGATCATCTATTTATTTTAAATGTTTTTGTTGTGTTTCCCCCTCAACACCACACTCCACACCACTCCCTCCCCCCATCCCTCCCCGGGACCATGGCAGGCAAGTTTCTGTTGAGGCGGCAGAGAGGAAAGCTCGTGAGCTCAATGTGATGTACATAGAGACCAGTGCCAAGGCCGGTTATAACGTCAAACAGGTTGGTGTCCAGCAACAGCCGGTGTAATACTGACAAATAGTCCTGACAGTCATGATGTCCTTTAGGTCAGGGAGGCCAACCTGTGCCGTCTGGGATGTACAACCCTTCCATGTATTCATTATATGGATCAGAGTGTGGCTGTTGGATGAATGAGTGATCTCGTTTTCCTGCTGCTTCATTTTTACTCAGCACAGCAGCTTCTCTCCCTTTGTCTTCCTCTCTGTCTGTGTGTGTTTATAACTAAACTAACCTCTCTCTCTCTCTTTTCCACTCAAAACAAGATTCTGTGTTGAGCTCTCTCTGTTTCTCCATTTCCTCCCTCTCCTTTCGGCCTGTCCTTTTCGCATTTCTTTCCATATCTGTCTTTTCGTCCACCTTCCCCCCCTTCTGCTTTTACCTGAGCAGACAGATCACCACGGAGGAGGGCGAGCAGAGAGCTAAGGAACTGAATGTCATGTTCATTGAAACCAGCGCAAAGACTGGCTACAATGTCAAACAGGTAGAGAATCTGCTCTGTCAAGGTAGTTGAGCTAATTCTGCCATCAAAGTCTACACTTAACTCCTTCTGCCTCCTTTTTCCCTTCTCGTGGCATCATGACATGTCTTAGCGTTCTCCGCACTTACTGTATCAGTTGTGTGTCTTTTTTTCCTCCCACAGGCTTTGCTTTTAGACGTTTCCATATTACTTCACTTGGTCTGCAAACGTTTCCTGCTATTGTGTTTGTGTTTGCTTAAGTACTTTTTGTCCGATTCACAAAACTTTCTGCAGCTTTCCAAATGTTAATGTGAATATGATGGAGGAGATAAGCACGGCGACCGTCACTTCATGTTGTTCTCTAAACCAGCAAGCACATTTTCTACCACTGCTTTAACTGCTTCTTGTGTTTGCCTGTTATTTGATAAAATACATTATGTAGGATCGGATACTTTTTGTCTATACTGTATATAGCCTATTTAACAGTAGTGGTGGGTGATGTGACCATATATACCTAGAGGCAGAGAGCCTTCTATACCGTTAATACTGAGGTAACTATCCCTTCAGTATCTCTGGTTGTATTTGGCTGTTGTGGGTAATGGAGCAGATGAATTTGCAGGATTGCATTGCATCAATACGATTAAATACCATTGTCAGACACCAGATTAAACAAAAAATAGACATTCTCAGCTGATTGCTTTATGTATAAACTGTTTATCAGTTGAATTTCCAAAGAATTTACGATATCACAATATACATGAATGTGGACGTAAAATTACTTGCATTGTGATACAAGATTTTATCCAAATTATCCACCTCTATTTGACAGGATTTTACCTTTATATCCCTTTCCAGCAAGACCTTTTCAGATGTTATATTCTTCTCACTTTGTTTTACAGCTGTTCCGTCGTGTCGCAGCTGCATTGCCTGGGATGGATAGCACACCAGAGAAAAGCAAAGAGGACAGTATCCTTTTTCAAGATGCCTTTAACAGAAATCGTTTTGTTTATTTTTTTAAATACTTTTGTCAAATTATTATTGCCACTGCCAAACAAGTGCCTGTCAGCTTACTCTGCAATGTCGAGCGAGGAGATGGCAGCCAGATACCGTTGCGGGGAAAAAACTGAAGTTAAATGTGCAAATTCATTGATGATGTTACTTAACCAAGCCCTCGCAGTGATCGACATCAAACTGGAGAAACAGCCAGAGATGACTGTCACCGAGAGCAGCTGCTCATGCTAGTACACCTCACCCTCACCCAGCCTGTCTCCTCCCCACCAACAGCTTGTCTCTCAGTGGCCACTCTCTCCACCCATGGCACACTGCCATTGGGATGGAGGACCTGTCTTTTTTTTTCCCCTTTTCAACTCAGTGACTTTTCAGAGTAACCGTGTGGATGTGCATTACTGTATTGAAACAGATTATCTGGAGAAAAAAAAATGGTTCAAAAGTAAACATTTAAAACAAGGAATAAGTTTAAATGATATGTTCAGATTTTCATCCAGTTGCATGGCATTAATATAGGATTGCAGACTGACATAGCTAACCGTTCATGAGTTATTGCACAGTTCTGAATCTTAGTGCTGTTACTCTCGTCATTGTTGTAAAGTAAAACTGCTTGGGATTATTTAAATGACTCTGCAAGGTTGAGTTCTCAGCCCATTGTATTTTATTTTTTATTATTTTAAATGGAGAGTTTGCCTAAAACTATTTTGTCTGATTACTGATCATTTCTAGACCTTGTCCTTTTTTTTGAGGAAGTAGAGACGGGAACATACAAGTGAATTTACATCATTGCTAACCCTCATATTACCACATTAGGCTCAAATGAACCCTTTGCATTGAAATGGGTCAGTGTTCCAGTTATTAGGTATTATTTATACCAAACACATCTGTAGGCTTAAACTACCAAATCCAACAGTGTGTTAGTATAACAAATTGACTTAATTTGAGACCTTATTTAAAACAGTGCTGCAAAAAGGGATGTGTAACCAAGTAATGAGGAAATTGATATCCCTTTTTCATCAAAGGGAAACCATCCCAAGTTCATTAGAATGGCTACTAACCTGAAGCTATGTCTGCATTTAAAACTATAGCAACCGTCTTTCCAATGTTGTTCAAATAGCTGCACGCTTACTAACATGTCTGAGGAGGAGTTTTCAGTTATAAGATGCCCCTAATGTAGGAAATAAAAATAAAAAAAGCCAATGTTTAGTTTTTCCACGCTGATGGAAAGTGTTCACTTTGGTCGCTATGACGTACCCACCATCTCATTGATAATTTGTGTTGTGTTGATTACACTATTGCAAGAACATGCAGCATGCTCACCATGCAGGATTTATATGGATAAGAACACAGATGCCTTGCTTGTTTGTTCACCAACGTTGTGCACTGAATCAAGCCACAATATTGTAAAATATAAAAGAAGCCTGCTGACTGGTTCATGGCTTCACTAGTTGTTTTGTAGAGCTGGTAGATAAAGAGTTTGTCCTCAGATACAGCTAACGCTTACTAACACCCTTGCTGTATAAAGTGCAGAGAAGTTAGTTGCAGTATCCTTTGCTGTATTGCTATTGCTTGTGTAGGGACTGTTGGTTTTATGTGTTTTATTTATTTTGTAACTTGGACATACAGATAACATTGTATGCTTGACCAAAAGTACAAATGCTGACACGCATGTTGAAAGTTTATTTTATTTATTGTTTGCGTGTCTGCTGGGACTCCACCTAAAGGCGACATTGAGGCCCCCGGTAATGTTTTTCCCTGTCACACTGCTAGAAATGACTTTTTTTGCAGTGTGTGTAGTCAGTAACTTGGTTTACAGTCGCAGGTAAAGGCTGCACCGACTCCAGACACACACTCACTTACACACACACACACACACACACACAGTGTAACACAAACCACCTAACTAGCCATAGCACAACAAAAGACACTGGTCATTTGCTGTAGCTTGTTTTGAAATGTCAGCATTTTAAAATGGATTCCAAAATGTAAGTATTTAATTACATCAAACAACCATTTTAACATGAGCAGCTCTTCTATTACTTGTCACTGACTAATTACGCAGCTTTGTGCTATTCTGAATTGTGTCTGTCCATTTGAAATATGCTGTCTACTCGTGTTTAGCAACGTTTGTGTGAATAATGTACTATTATCTGATGTATAAAAAGGAGAGTTAATGAAACACAAGTGTAGGCCTATCACATGGAATAAAATAAAGATATTTCACCAAAATGTAATATCTGTGATCTCTTTCTTTTTAAACCTCTGCTTATGGCAGATTCATAATATGTTATGTCGTTTCCAATGTTATGGATCAACAAACATTCATATGTTCTGCTCCATTAGTACTATCTACAATCAATGCTATACAGCAGAGTGTGAGAAGCCTGTTACGGTGTTGCCAAAGTAGACTGAAACTGCTCATTGGGCAACACAGGCATGAAATGTTACAACAGAAAGGTGTGGTTATGCATGAACATGAGACTGCACGGCTGTTACTCAATGTAGCCTACATTTTTGGTCAAGGGTGTTGAAAACGTGATTAAAAACTTAATGTTCAATCTGAATCTTATTTCTTACATTCAACAAACATATATCGCCCTGTTCCTATCAGTTATCCTCTGTCCTTCAAAACCTAGATCTCCTACAGTACTTGAATATGTATGTATGTGTGTGTGTGTTTTCTAACATTTGGCTGGAAAAA